TTTTTTTCTTGTATTTTCCCTTTTTCTTATCTGGGTTTTTTTATATCGCATTGGCATCTATGCTCTTGAGCCTCATTTGCACCAAAGAAATTGCATTTCCTGTGCCTTTTTCGGATTTGAAGGAAGAAGATCAAGGGGGTTAAGTTCAGATCATTAAGCAAAGGTCAGAGCTTCTCTATGTAACTAAGTTTTACTTTTGTTTTTGTTGCTCTAACCTCTGTGTTTCTTGGCCTCTTTTATTTGGCATGTTTACTTTTTGTTTTTCGGATCATGTGTCTGGTTTGTTTTTATTGGGAAATTTTACTATCCCAAAATAGAAAAAAAATTCGTAGATTTAGAAATTGGTTTAAACTGTCTGTGTTTTGGTTCGATGTGAATGTAATCCTGTTTGATTTTTGAAATGCTAAACCCCTGTGTGATGCATTTGGCGTGATTTCTTATTGGAGACACATAGTGAACATTACAAAACCGAATATGTTTTTGTGTCTTGTGGTAGTAAGTAGTAACTGGTCACATTCTGGCACTGGTTAAGCTGCTGTTTGATTTCGCTGGGAGTGAATTGGATTAATGACAAATAGCGGTGATTAAGAAGTCATTTTGCTGCACCGGAGTTGATTGACATGCAAAATTAGAGTAGTTACATTTGTTTGGTTGAGCAACTGCATCAGATTACTTTATGCTGTTAACATTTGTGTATATAAATTTCAGTGAAGTGCTTCATATGGTAATTTGGGGTTTGCTTGTAGTATCCAGGATTCAATGGATTAATTCTTGTTAAAAACATAAGACGCAGCAGAGTTTTGCCTTCGCTTTCAAGCTTGTGTAACATGTCTTCTGGAAGTCTAAAAACTGCGCTATCAAAGAAATATGGTGGAATAAAACTATGGGTTCTGATCGGCATATCCGTTGGAGCATTTATAGTTCTTATTCTCGGGATCCTATCAATATGGGTCATGTTCCGGAGAAAGTCACAAAGAACCTTGGACAAGAACAAAAATCTTGTCCAAATCCCTAATGTCTCAAAGGAAATTAGGGTTGTTGACAGTGTTGCGGACCAAAGCACACAAGATCGGCCAGATGGTCTAATCTCGACCATTAATGATAAGTCGAGCGGTAAGAACTCTGAGAAAATGATGGTTCATTTGGGCAGGAGTAAATCTAGTGATGTTGATGATGTCAGCCAGGGCAGTTCAATATATCATCAAGAGAGGACATATAGCTCTCACTCTGGGGAGGAAGGAAGCTCGGGTAATGCCAGAAAGCAATATTCTTCGTCATATGCACTTGCAATGCCATCTCCATTAATTGGTTTGCCTGAAGTGTCTCATCTTGGGTGGGGCCACTGGTTCACTCTTAGAGATCTTGAAAATGCCACAAATCGGTTCTCATCAGAGCATGTTATTGGAAAAGGTGGTTATGGTGTTGTTTACAGGGGCAGATTGGTCAATGGCACGGAGGTAGCAGTCAAGAAACTCCTTAATAACCTGTGAGTACTCGGCTCATGTTTCAGTGTATATTATTACTTTTGCTAAATGACTAATAAGCAATATTGTTGCAGTGGGCAAGCTGAGAAGGAATTTAGGGTTGAAGTTGAGGCCATTGGCCATGTTCGGCATAAGAATCTTGTTAGGCTTCTTGGCTATTGCATAGAAGGAGTTCAAAGGTTAGGTTTTTTGCTTGATTGCACCTGAACACTTTTTAGGTGCTATGGTTTCTGGTTGTTATAGTAACGAGTCTTCCTAATTGTTTTAGTTTCTATTTATAGTACTTCGTAGTTGAGAAAATTTCATTGTTTATCTGTGCAGGATGTTGGTATATGAATATGTATGCAATGGCAACCTGGAACAGTGGCTTCATGGGGCTATGAGACAACATGGCACCCTAACATGGGAGGCCCGTATCAAGGTTTTGCTTGGCACTGCAAAGGCGTACGTGATTTTTTTTCTTTAAGTGTCCTGTTTGACATGCCTTCTCTCTCTCTCTCTCTCTCTCTCTCTCTCTATATATATATATATATATATATATATATATATATATTAATTCTAGTCAGCAACTAACTCTGACCAAAATGATTTATGGCATCTTGACTTCTGTGACTGTGAGGCAGAAACTTTTCACACATGTTACACTTTGTCTGAATTTTACCGTTGCAAATATTTGTTTATCATTCTTGATTATCATAGGGCATGTGTGTGAAAGCAACAATTTGACAATGAATTCAAGAATCTTTAGAATATTGAAAGTACTCCTAATTGGGCTTTGCAGACTTGCTTATTTGCACGAAGCTATTGAACCGAAAGTGATTCACCGTGACATAAAATCTAGTAACATCTTGATTGATGATGAGTTTGATGCAAAAGTTTCTGACTTTGGGTTGGCTAAGCTGTTGGAGTCTGGAGAGAGCTATATAACAACTAGAGTGATGGGAACATTTGGGTACAACATCTTTTCTTCTCCTGTTAGATACTCTTTAATCTTTGCAGTTCAACCTTTCTTATTTATTAGAGGGATTTTCCTAAATCACTCATGTTTTTTGGGTTTCAGGTATGTAGCCCCTGAATATGCAAATAGTGGCTTGTTAAACGAAAAGAGTGACGTTTACAGTTTTGGTGTTCTGCTTCTGGAAGCTGTCACTGGAAGAGATCCCGTAGACTATGGCCGTCCAGCTGATGAGGTATTTACTATAGTCGGATGATGTCAGAATGTTGTGTGGGTCCTTCAGTAACACGATATATGTGGGCAACTTGCAGGTTAATCTTGTTGAGTGGCTGAAAATGATGGTCGGTAGCAGGAGAGCTGAGGAAGTTGTTGACCCTAACCTGGAAGTGAAGCCAACAACTCGCGCCTTAAAGCGTGCACTATTGGTTGCCCTTAGATGTGTTGACCCCGACTCAGAAAAACGGCCGAAAATGAGTCAAGTTGTTGTTATGCTCGAAAATGACGAGCTGCCTTATCGTGAGGTAAGCGTCCATTCGAACTAAGCATCATGTTTATCTTGCAGATCCTAAAACTAACTTATGAATTGAAATAAAGCATCGTGGTTTTGATCGAAAAAAGTGTGATGAAAGGGTCATAATCATGGCACTGTGTCATGTGTATGCAAAATTTCAATTTTGTTCCTTTTACTTGTCTAAAGTCCTTTTTTGGTACACTAACTTTCCGCCTATCAAAAATAGTACATTATGTTCCAATTTGTATCATTTTTGGGACATTACTCATAAAAAGTAGTTGTTATATGTTGCAATTTGTATCATATTTAGGACATTAATCCCAAAAATAATGAACCATTTTTGGGATAAATGTTCCAATAGTGATACAAGTTGTAACATAACGTACTATTATTGATGAGGGGAAAGTTAGTGTACCAAAAAAAGACTTTAGACACGTTAACGGACCAAAATTGAAATTTTGCCGTCATGTGTATATATAGTTAGGCAGATGGTATAGGTGAGTTGCAGCTAAATGACAAATTCATCTGCTAAATAGTAAATCTTTTTGTAAATGACAAATTCTAAGATTAGTCACTATAAAATAAAACAAAAATGTAGTAACCGGGCCAAGTTACATTGTGTTCGTGCAGGATCGGAGGAGGAGGAGGAAAAGCGAGACGGGCAGCTTAGAGATTGAAAAGGAGAGTTGTGGTTCGATCGAGACTGAAAGCAAGGATACAGACCTACACACCCATTGACCTCTTTTTCGAGCTCACCAAAAAATTTGAACAAAGGATGGCCCATTAGGAAATCTTGCTTGCCTGGCAGTTAATTAGAGAGAGACTTTTTTTGTACAGTGTGTTTTGTTTGTGGGATGACTAGTTGCTCTTTGTTGATAACCATTGTGAAGATTATCATTTTTTTTTTTAGTTTTTTTTGTACACTTTTTAGATGGCTTGCCTGGGGACAATCTTG